ACCCTTCTTCCTCTACGTCTTCGTCTCCCTTTACGTGCTCTTCTTCCTCTACGTATTCGTCTTCCTCTACGAGCTCTTCTTCCTCTACGCCTTCGTCTGCCTCTAGGGTCTCTTCTTCCTGTACGTGGTCTTCCTCTACGCAATCTACGTGCTCTTCTTCCTCTACGTCTTCGTCTTCCTCTACGTGCTCTTCTTCCTCTACGTCTTTGTCTCCCTCTAGGCGCTCTTCTTCGTCTACGTGCTCTTCGCGTGCCTGGGCGTCCTCTTTGTGCTCGTGCGCCTTGGCGCTGGTTGTTTGTTTCTTGTTTGTTGTTGGTTGTGGGCTCTGGGTTGCGGTTGCAGTTGGTGAGATATGTAGAACTACCGTTGAAAACCGTAGCGCTGCCCTCTAATGGTGTTGAAACCCTTGAACAACCAAGCGTTTCGCTGAGGCGAAAACGTTATGGAAGAATATTCTATGAGCCCGGCCATCATTTTCACAGTCTTGAAAACAAAGAGTTAGATATCGAGACCGCAAAACAAAGTGCGGTTTTTGCGTGATCGGACTTTCATCACCGAAATTCAGCGGACAACCCTTGTGGCGGCGGGTTGAAAAGCCGGCGGCCTTGTTGTTGTTGTTGGTGGTGGTGGTGGTGGTGGCGGCGGTGGTGTTGTTGGTGTTAGTGTTGGTGTTGGTGTTGGTGTTGGTGTTGTTGTTGTTGTTGTTGGTGGTTGGTGTTGGTGTTGGTGTCGGTGTCGGTGTCGGTGTCGGTGTCGGTGTCGGTGTCGGTGTCGGTGTCGGTGTCGGTGTCGGTGTCGGTGTCGGTGTCGGTGTCGGTGTCGGTGTCGGTGTCGGTGTCGGTGTCGGTGTCGGTGTCGGTGTCGGTGTCGGTGTCGGTGTCGGTGTCGGTGTCGGTGTCGGTGTCGGTGTTGTTGTTGTTGTTGTTGTTGTTGTTGTTGTTGTTGTTGTTGTTGTTGTTGTTGTTGTTGTTGTTGTTGTTGTTGTTGTTGTTGTTGTTGTTGTTGTTGTTGTTGTTGTTGTTGTTGTTGTTGTTGTTGTTGTTGTTGTTGTTGTTGTTGTTGTTGTTGTTGTTGTTGTTGTTGTTGTTGTTGTTGTTGTTGTTGTTGTTGTTGTTGTTGTTGTTGTGTGTTGTTGTTTGTTGTTGTTTGTTGTTGTGAGTTGTTTTTGTTGTTGTTGTTGTTGTTGTTGTTGTTGTTGTTGTTGTTGTTGTTGTTGTTGTTGTTGTTGTTGTTGTTGTTGTTGTTGTTGGTGTTGTTGCTGTTGTTGTTGTTGGTGGTGGTGGTGGTGGGTGTTGTTGTTGTTGGTGGTGGTGGTGGTGGGTGTTGTTGTTGTTGGTGGTTGTGGTGGTTGTTGTTGTTGTGGCTGTTGTTGTTGTTGCTGCTACTGTTGCTGTTGCTGTTGCGGTTGCTGGTGTTGTTGTCGTTGTCGTTGTCGTGGTTGTCGTTGTCGTTGGCGTTGTCATTGTCGCTGTCGCTGTCGCTGTCGTTGTCGCTGTCGCTGTCGCTGTTGTCGTCGCTGTCGC